TTTTTTTTTTCGTAAAGACGAGGTCTTGCTATGTTGCCCAGGCTGGTCTTGAACTCTTGGGCTCAGGTAAACCATCTGCCTCAGCCTTCTAAAATGCTGAGATTACAGGCATAAACTACCATGCTCAGTCAGACTCTTCTAAACCACAACATTCGGTGTTATTGCTCTGAAAGGTCTTCTTAGGAGACACTGAGATTTGAAAAATTACTGGTATATAAGAAAAAAACCTATCTAATTTTAATGGGGTTCCCTCCCTTCTTCTACATCCCTGTAAATTATTTTTCATCACTTACACTGTCCAAACAGACGCTACCGTGGCCCCTAGAGATGAGTCAGAGTGCTAGAATACAGCAAGAGTAGCCTTGAGTCAACAAAGTACCTAACCTACACTGTTGGTCTTCAGGGGCTCTTGAACTAATCATGTAAAAAGGGTTAATTAAAACATCTTCTAATATTCCCCAGAACTTGGTCTCACTGTTTACCTGGGACAGACAGATCAGCCACAATTGAGCTGACAATAAGGCCAGTCAACTGCTAACAAAAGAAAAGAACTAGATCTATGAATCTTGGGAGCAGGTTGGCATATACCTACTTTTCTGACTCCCTCTGGCAGCTCTCGCACAGAGAGGGGCCAGGCTGTCCTGTGGGATGCAGCTAGAGCAGGCGTTCCCACCCACAAGCTTCCCTCCAGGCACGGAGCACCGAGTCTGTAAAGCTTATGATTATTCAAGAGCAGCTGGGGCAGGACTCCAGGGAGTCCAGTTCCTGGCACTGACAGATGTGGCATTCTGTTGACATATCCATTCAGTCCCTCACAGAGCAGATGCCTGAAGCAATCTTTTCACTCCATCCTACCAACCTTAGCAAGTTAAACTACAACTATGGAGGCAGCAGGAAACTGCCTGTCTCCTGAAGCTGTGGTCATGGGCTTCTAAGAGCATCATATTCTTTCCCAATCTTGATGGCAGGCAGGCAGGGATTTCCTTAGAATAAACCAAATCCACTGCCAACTCAGTGAGCCCTGACATCAGCACATCAGGTGCCTCTCCTACACCCACCTAAGAAAGGGGGAACTGAAAACATTTCCCAACTCCAGAGCCTCCGGCGGCTCTTCCTTCCTTTTCCCTCACTCATATGCAAAAGGCTGCTCATTTATTATAATCACCACAAGATTTGTGTACCCTAAGAGCTAAAAAATAGTTTTCTTGGTTTCTTTTAATCTTTACAAGAAGTCACTATGTAAAAGACCCAGCAAACAGGGAGCTCTTTGGAAAGAAGTCGGCACAGTCAATGCTCAGTTTACATTAGAGCCACTTACCTTGTTCAAACTCTGTATCCTTCACACCTTGATGAAACTGGCCTGGCCATCAACTCAGTTCATGCTTTCTCTCAACGCCATCTCTAGCCCAACAAGAGGATCTACTAGGGAAAGTCCAGTCCCCTACCAGGAAACAGTAATGTGGCACCTGGAGTGAATCCTAGCTGCCTCTCACTGGTGATATGATATTGGGCAAGTTACTTAGCCCCTTGGAGCTTTTGTTTCCTGATCTGAAAATGAGATCACAGCCGGGTATGGTGGCTCACGCTGTAATCCCAGCACTTTGGGAGGTGGAGGTGAGAGGACTGCTTGAGCCCAGGAGTTGAGAACAGCCTGGGCAACTTAGCAAGACTTAATTTCTGCAATAAATCAAAAAATTAGCTGGGCGTGGTAACATGTGCCTATAGTTCAGCTACTGGGAAGACTGAGATGGAAGGATCACCTGAGCCCAGCAGGATGAGGCTGTGGTGGCCATGAGCATGCCACTGCACTCCAGCCTGGGTGGTAGAGTAAGACTCCAACTCAAAAAAAAAAAAAATTAGATCGTACATGTATGGTTCTTGACAGCATGCCTGGCACACAGAACAGCTAAAAAATAACGCTGATATATACCTGATCTCATCACTTTGTTAAGTATACACGTCAGAACCTCAAACATGCCTGCCTTTGAAAAAAAATGTATTTTCAAGTCAAATATCAATGATTGGGATGTCTGCTTGTAGGCTCATCTTAAGCAAAGATGGACGACAGACATCTATTCGTACCCATTTCTGTATAGTCTCAATTCTCTTCAAAGTTAGTTGTAATTACTTCCTCCATGATCCCTCAACGGAACACACTGCTCTCCCAGCATCCATCAACCACATCTCTCAGCCATAGGTCTCTCACTCACTCTGCCCTCAGCACGGCAAGTGTGCTCCACACCATGGCCTCACTGTCTGTCCTCCTTAACAAATCTATCCACCCTTTGGCAAGCCCTTCAAGTCCTTTCCTAACCTCATCTCCACGTTACCTCTGCTTCTCTGACTGCTGCCACCTCCCAGGTATTACACACAACTACACATTTTGATTGCCTTGCTCTCTACTGACCAATTCATACTCATTTCCACTTGAACTGCTCTCTCCTTGCTCTGTGCACACTTCATCCCCCCTCTGCCCTATAAACTCCTAGTGGGTGGGGCTCACGTTCATTCTCCAAGTCTCCTCATAGACAATATACACTGCTCTCAACAGTGCACAGATGTGCTGATCCTTACTGATGACTACCCCCATTCCATTCCTAAGGAGCTCCAAGAGGTAGAATAGAGCTGACACAACAGTAGCCAGAAATGCTTTCCAAGAACGTGCTAGATGCATTATATAAATGCTTTCTGACTAAGATTCTGCTTAGATTAAGAAAAAAAGAAGACTTCAATTTTTCTTTGGGATCTAAGTTTCACATTTTCTTTTTTTTTTTTAAAGCAGGATTTATTGAGAGGACAGAAAAGCTCCCACAGTGGGAGGGGACCCAAGGGGATTGCCCAAGTATCACATTTTCAATGCATGATAGCCAATAGTCTATCTATCTAATAAGAATTATCCCTCTGTAGTTCTTGCAAATGCTATTTCTGAGTGATCCTACAGTCTGTGAAAAAAACCCAAACGAAACAAGGCAGCATACCATGAGTTCATCAACTTCAAGAAATACCTCAATAGCCTCACCATAGTCCAGCCCTTCCAAAAGCAGCAGCACCTGGTAGGATCTTAACAAAGGTTGGCAGAAAATACCAGTCTACTACCCCCACCTGGTTGTGTTGATTGTGGGATATCATTACAGAGTTGTTTAAAAAGCATCAGTCCCTAAAGGAGAGGAAAACAACTCACAGGTTCACAACTCAGGGAGAGGATCCGAGTACCCTGGCCAGGAACATCAGCTGTCTCCTAAAACTATCAAGACGGCTGAGCCAGACAGTGCACCATTGGGTAAAACGGCTTCCCTTATAGAGAGCACCAGAGCAACTGGTTTGTTTTGCCTCTGCCAACTTTCATCTTCCCACTAAACTCAACAGCCTCAAGTTCCTGTTCTAACAAAGGCATGCCAGTCTGGGGCTGGCTCATTCACCACCTAGAACAGTCATAAACTCTACAGGGTTAAATTTAAGAAATGAAAAACTAGAGAAATAGGAGCTAGAAGAAAATTTTTTATTAGGGTGTTAAGATGTGAAAAATCTTTCCTCAAATACAGGCAACTTACTGTCTTGCCAATTTGCTGTTATATCCTGTACAATGAACATGACTCCACAAAATCCTTTGTAATGACCATCCAACCAATAAATCAATCCTTCATTATACTGTTACTACTGAATGAAGTCTCTCTTACTAGGCCACGTTGAGAAAGAGGATTCACATCACCAGACTTCTATTCTTAGTTTGTGCCTTAATCTAGACCATATTGTAAACTATTGGTCAGAAAAACACCATTCTTACAACACAGTCACTTGCCCCTCAAAAAAATATCAGCTTTCTTTTCAAAACTGAGGGCAAATGCCAACATGAATTGAAGCAAGGATAGACTTAACAGTTCATGTGATTATAAAGGTGGGATGCTGGGCTGAAGGCAAAGCATTATTAATCAGAGAAGAATACACAGGAATGCTCACCAGACTCTGCCACATGAACCAGCTACAACAACAAGCTCTCAGCATCAGGACTCCATTCAACCAACCAAAACCAACAACCAGGAACCATCATCACCTTAGCAAAGGGTGGAAGACACTGTTCAATCCACCAGCATAGAAAGAAACAGATCGAGAAATCAAACATCTAGATGAGTGTCTCACAACAATCAGAATATTTAAAATCACAGTTAACAAACAATTCTCTCACTTATTCTACACATTTGAAAAGTCAAAATATCACTTGGGCCACTTTGGGTTGGGGATGAGGAAGTCAATGGGTCAAAACAGACTGAAAAGACATTGACAAGGGGACATGCAAACAGGGTAAAGTGAAAACTCAACAGCAATATTTAGGACAAATAATTGAGCTTGTCTTTTTCCTCGGGGGGTGGGGGAACCCCACCCAAAACCATAAAAACAAAGTAGGAACAAATCCCAAATGTGTGCTGTTGCTCCAAGCTTAGTATATATTTACACTGGAAGCATGGCTGGTGATATTTTGACATAACTTAAAAAAAAAAACTAAACTAAAGGTAAAGAACTTCACCCAAACCAGAGCAGAGAGACAGGAGTAAATTATTCACGTGGATGAAGCAACATCCACAAGCCATGAAGGTTGCGGGGAGGGGGAGGGGAGAAGGGGTAGGCTTTTGTGTTTTGCTATTGGCAGGAGAGCTAAGCAGCCTCAAACAACCTCCTCTGGGGAGTGGCAGTCTAGGAGTCTAGGTTTGCCGTGAAGGGGTATCATCAATCCCGAGGCCCACCACCTACCCCTTCTCCTCTTCTCCGAGGGCACCTACCTTACTGTAAGTCACTACTGATAAGTTGTTTGCGTGACTGCTGGGGGACAGATTTACAGAGTTCTGTGAGAGTCTATTGTGATCTTGCTCAGTTTGGTCAGGAGCAGGAGCCCAAGTGTTTTTGCTGATCGAGTCGAACCCGGAACCCCCAGGGTCTTTTAAGTTGTTTTCATCTGATTGTCGGTTCTTTTGGGGAGAGGCAAACGGGTTGAAGTTTCCTTCTACCTTGCGATGCGGCTGTGTGTTGAACTCCGTTTCAAAAGACGACAGCTGCTGCGTTACTCCTAAAAGTCCACCCACCTCCACACTGAGAATCACCCAGATGACATCTGAAAGAAGAAGGCAATTCATGTCAATGCCAGGCATGCACTTAAGGCCCAAGGCAACCACCAGCAAAAACTCCAACATCTCCAAACCATAGGAAACAATGCTCTTCTATATGCTAGTTTTCAAAGCTTGTTGACAAAGTTGCCCAAAACGTTTTCAATGCATGTAGTTCTTCATTTTTGGTAACGTCAAGTTCAAGCTATGGTATAAATTCAGCAGAGGCCTGTGGTGAGATCTATGAAATTTTATTTGTAAAAGCTCACTAGCTGATTCTGAGATGCACAGCCATCTTTGGAAATCATTACTCCAGAGAACAATGTTCCTAGAATTAACAACTGTTTGTGGTTTTTGCTTTATTTTGCATGTGTTTAACTCAGAAAATTCAGGGCAGGCCTAATTCTTGAGTTAAAAAATGTTCAAAATTACCAGAATTGCAACTTATCAATCCCTTCCCCTTAGGGGCAATTTAGAGTGGCTATATATTGTCCAAACCAGGACAAATGAGAATAAAAGAGGGAGCTTAATCATTATACAAGAACTCAGGTAAACCAGCACGAATCTAGACAAACTATTTATATTATCACCATGGCTATATTCTCAATCTTTGTGATCAAAAGATACCAAGAATTTGGTATGCCTCAGACCTTCTGAAAGGACCAGTTTAATACCTGTTTTTTCTGTAATACAGTCATGTTTTGCTTAATGATGGAAATATGTTCTGAGAAATGCATTATTAGGCAATTTCATCATCATGTGAACCTCACAGAGTGTACTTACACAAACCTAGATGGCCTAGCCTACTACACACCTAGGCTAGATGGTATAGCCTAGTTGCTTCCAGGCTACAAACCTATACAGCATATTACTGCACAGCATAACACTACAGGCAACTGTAAAACAATATTATTTGTGTATCTAGATATATCTAAACACAGAAAAAGTACAGTAAAAATATGACATAGAAGATTTAAAAATGACATATCTGTCTAGGGCTCTTACCAAGAATGGAGCTCCTAAGACTGGAAATTGCTGTAAGTCAGTGAGTGAATGTGAAGGCCCAGGACATTACTGTACTCTAGTGTAAACACTGTACAAAGTAGGCTACACTAAATTCATTACAAAATAAAGTAAATGTGCTAAGACATTATAGCGGATATAACATCACTAGATGACAGGAATTTTTCAGCTACATTATAATTTTATTGACCGAAAATGACCACTATTGAGCAAAACGCCATTATGCAGTGCATGACTATATAGGGAAACCCTACTACCTATCTACACTGAGGCCATAAGAGTATTTTTTAAAATACGCACCACAGGACACTTGGTCATAGTTCAGTTCTTGATTTCCTCAACTGCAAAAGTTAAGGGCTCAAATAGAAAAACAAAAGAAGTAGTGGCTCCCTTTGGTATTCAGCACCTCACTTCAGAGAACAGTGGCATCTACATTCCTGCTGGAAGGTTTTCAAAAAGCAAGATACAGAAAAGCCAATAAGCTTTTGAGTGTGTGAACCCTGAACACAAATAAGAAAAACTGTCTAGGTTCCCAAATAACTGTTGGAAGGCTGACAGGAAAAAGCAAATCCATTTCATCAGTTAGTTACCTGGAAATATAGATAATATATACACCTAGAACAAATACACTAAAAACAACAGTGAAGAAAAACTGAGGACAATCCTCTTAGGTTGTGTTTATTCTTAATTTTTAATTTGGGTTATGTATCAGAAGAAGGTGATCTTCAAGGAGCATACAGTCATAAATATTTGATTTATATGTAGTGGCTTAGAAGCTGTTTTAAGAACTGGCTGCATCCAAACAGCTAAGAGCCCGACCCTAGTAAGTGGGGATGCAGTGACACCTGCTGTTCACTACTAGAATCAGCAACTCCCTTCTCAGAAGAGAAAGTTAAAAGCCACCAGCAGCACTGACATTACTCAGAAGAATGGGTGCCCATTCCAGACACACTTATTATTAAAGAAAATATAAATTCTCATGCCAACTAGCACCACAAGAGTTAAACCTCTTTATTTAACACTGTGCCTGCAGTGTGCCACTTCCTTTAGAAATCTGGGACAGTGCCAGGAATGGTAGGTCAGAGGACTTTGAGTTCAAGGCTCTAAATCAATCTTGTAAACAATAGGACACAAGTGTTTAAAGAACAATCCAACAGCAGGCAGCCTGAGGAAGGTTCATTCTATGCTCTTCAATCCTAGCTTTCTTTTTTCTTTTTCTTTTTTTTTTGAGTTGGAGTCTCACTCTGTCGCCCAGACTGGAGTGCAGTAGCCGCTCCCAGCCACCGCAGCCTCGACCTGCTGGGTTCCGGCGATCCTTCCGCCTCAGCCTTCCGAGTAGCCAGAACTACAGGCGCGCGCTACCACACCCGGCTGATTTTTTGATTTATTGTAGAGATGAGGTCTCGCCAAGTTGCCCAGGCGGGTCTCGAACCTGCGGGTTCAGGCAATTCACTCACCTCAGCCTCCCAAAGGCACGGGACTACAGGCTGAGCCACCGAGCCCGGCATACGTGTGTTATTTTTAACTGAACAGACACAAAGGTAAAGATGGTTCAATAAGCTTGTTTTATAGAGGCTGACCATTCCCAATTCCCAATAAGTGAGGGAGAAAAGAAAAGCTTCCTTACAGAGGAATTTTAAATAATATATATGCAGATACTTTCCCAATTCCAAGGAGTTTAATTCTACACATCTCCTACCCACTCACTTCAGTGTGGGCTAACCTTGTGATTTGCTTCTTAGAGTAGGGAAAGGGAAAACAGTTACTTTACAGTAGAAAAACCTGGCAACTACTTAACTGACCACAGCTATCATCATCATTTAAGTTAGATGAATATCAGGTACTCCTAATAGGGCACTTTACCTCTGTGGTATTCTTTCTGAAACCCATAATGTGAGTCTAACGAGGAAAACATCAGACAATTCAGATTAGAGGACACTCTACAGAATACTTGCCAGTGTCCTTTAAGACTGCCAGGGGTCATGAAAAACACTGAGACTTAGAAACTCACAGCCAGAGGAGACTGGGAAACATGACAACCAAGTATAATGTGGTAGTCTAGCTTGGATTCTGTAATAGTAGGAAGTCATTAGTGGAAAAACTGGATAAAGTCTGGATTTCAATTAATAGTAAGGTACCAAGGTTGATGTCTTTACTTTAACAAGTATAACATGGTAATGTAAGACGCTAACAATGGGAGACTCTGAGTATATGAGAACTCTGAATAAGCTTTGCAATTTTTCTATAAACCTAAAATTATCCCAAAATATAAAGTCAACTGAAATAAATTAGCATGATATTAGAAAACCATATTTTCAGAAATTAAGTAGTAAAACTGTAACAGATCTGATATATAGAGACCATTCTCTATGGAGTGAATTAACTAGAAAGGACAGTGTTTTGATCTAGTAGGGGACAGCACAACATTATAGCAGGGCAAGAAAGATGGTACTAGCATGTGCTCAAGTCCTTTAGAAGACTCAAAAGAACATTTTATCAACTGGAGACACAGGCCAGTCCTATCTGCAGGGAAATGTTCCTTTTTCCAGGACAGCAGTGAGAACCGGTTAACAATCTTCAAACTGGGAGTACAGCAACAACTATACAACTAAACTGCATAAACTTTTTTGTTGTTGTTGAAGTCTCACTCTGTCACCCAGATTAGAGTGCAGTGGCACACTCACGGCCACCATACTCTCAACCTGCTTGGCTCAGCTGATCTTTCCGCTTTAGCCTTCCAAGTAGCTAGAACCACAGGTGCACATCACCACACTTGGCTAAATTTTTTGACCGCTGTAGACATGAGGTCTCGCCATGTTGGTCTTGAACCCCTGGGCTCAGGTAATTCTCTCACCTCCACCTCCCAAAGTGCTAGAATTATAGGTGTGAGCCACCATGCCCAGCTCTGAACCACAGTATCTTCATGTGGATGTTGGGCTAAGGCTGCCTGACTAATCCCAGAGGTTGCTTCTGGCCAGCACAAGATGCAAAGAGAAACCACTTAAACCAAACAAGAAACTGCTCCATCAATACCAGGCTTCCACTTGGTTCTGGGCTTCCCAAGGGGAAGGCCAGGGGACTTGGGAAAGCACCACTTTCAAAAATCTAGTTCACAAGGACACCTCACAGTGGTTAAAGCTGTAGTTAGGACTGAATTCTTGCAGCTTCTGATCCTTACAACAATCACCACTCCTTGTTCCTGCGAGTTGTGAGACAAGCATGCCCTGGCATAAGGAGGCACAGCCTGGTGTCAGTCAGCATGTACGTGGAAGACTACTGTGGGTGCCAGTTCTAGATCTGGAGGTCATGGATTCAAATCCTTTCTGCAGATCAACTCATCTTCAAAGAAAAATCCCAAGGATTAAGAAACAACAGGGGTCTGGAGAGATAAACAGGTTGCAGTTAGCTGCTGAGCTGTAAGCTATGGGCTCACATTTCATCTCTGCAGGAAAGCTGGGTATGTATCCCCTTGCTTCATGAGAAAGACTGGAAAGAAGAAAGTCTGAGCACTAGTAGTCTAGTGGTCTGAAACATGCCCTGACAGTAGGCAGTGCAAAGGTCAATATTATGAACAGGTCCGGACATCTTTGTGTGAGTCTCTTAGAACTACCAAGGTTAAAAAAAAGATCTATCAAGGTAGCAGTGTGTGTGTAGCATTGTGAAAAGAAGGCACTTCCAATTGTCCTGGCACTCATCTGCATAGTCTCAACTTTCGGTGTGCATTCCCATGTTCTCTGCTCAGCATAGCAGCCTTGCTTCCACAACAGCTTTGCTTCCAAGACACATGCCTGGACATCCCGGATACTTTCACTACATCTGTCAAACACACCACCTACCTTAGCACCTAAGGAGGAAGAGATGAACTGAAGAGATGGGCTTCAGCTCATCAGCTTCTCAGAGATCACTCCAGATTTTCGGGGCTTAGACCCCATTGTCAGGAGTGACTGGGGAAAGACTGCCTCTGCTCAACCTCTGCTTCTCTACT